AATATACGCAAATAAAAATACATACAACGTTTTATCAATGACAATGCATATACTACCTATGCAATCCTACCGCAATCATTGTTATCAGTTGATTGTTTGAAAGGTACATTTCGTACAAGTGCTTAAAATAAAAAAATAGTTTCGGAAATATGTTCGGGTTTTTACAAAAATATTATTTTTTCTTGGCAATTAAACAGAGCAATTTTTGAGACGACTATAACGTCCAGTATATGGAAATGAAAGGAAGTATGAGTAATAGTTGATAAATTTTATGCACCCAAAGGCTAATTCCCCCAAATTCTTGAAAAAACTCTCCTATTTTCAATGGTAATCCCACAAAATAACTTCTGCTATTTAAGGCACTTCATTTTAATTTTTATTAAAAAAAAAAACAACAAATATCATTAATTTTAATGACATAATAAGGACCGCCATTTTAAATAATATATAAAACTAATACTTTTGAGTATATTTCGCAAAGCAAAATTGTCGAACATATTTGTGTGGAAAAAAATGCGGGACACCGTCATCAAAAAAATTTCCAAAAATCAACGATAATTTGCACTTTATTGTACTAAAATTTAATAGGCTAAAAACTGCATACCTAAATTATTTCGAATGTTGCTGATTAAGAAGTTAGAAATTTTGGTCAAACTTTGTAGAATTTTCATAATTTTTGCCCGAGAAATTCAAATTCCCCCCAAAATCGATTGTCATCGCTGATCCCCATGTTTTGATGGTCATACTAAATAATTTCGAACTGCTGATTTGCACATATTGCTGAAGCTTAGTAAAAAAAAAGATATATACATATTTACTGATGTGCTACAAGGTGGACATGAAAGTTTAAAATGGCATAGTATTTATTGCCCATCTGAATTCATAAAAGCACTGTAATTGCTCTAAACTAAAACAAACCACTTTAATTACATGCATTCATGTCAATATACATACATACATAAATTATTTAAAAGCATGCCCTCAATTAGTTCGCCCATTCCACATCCACATGTACATATGTTTGTATGTATGTATATGGTGTATTTTAACACAAGGGCACTGATAATTACTGCTGCTCGTATGAAGGCTTACTCCCGCATGTGTCATTTGCAAACGGAAAACAAATTTAAACTATTTTATTTGGCCAAATTAATTTAAATAAATAATTATGATCCACTAGCTACATACATATGTATGTGTATATGTATCTACTCTATTATTACAACGACGAACTGTTTGGGTAGGCGGTGATGTTTCAATGACACTGAGCTAAATCCCTAACCGACAATTAAATGTACTGAAATGGGTCGCAGCGGAATTTAGCGTTGCAGTTAAAATAATAAATGAACATAGAAAACTAAATGGCAAATACTCTGGCACCTACTCTTTTGAAAAAAAAAAAAAACAATTCAATGCGGCTGCAGCGCTCATGTTTTCATAAATAGTTTATTTGCACAACTGTCTGTATAACAAAGCATACTCGAAAACTACTAAAAATGCAGTAGAAATATTCTCTTTTTAAATTTAAATTTCCAGTAAAAAAATCTGCGACAAGGAGACTTTCTAGGAGCAAATTTTTACTCTTTTCAAGCGGTAGGCATTTCACATATTTATTTAAACAAATTACTGAGCTTTGTACCACGACCTTGTTTTTTAGGAAAAATTCAAAAATCAACAAATTCTAAACAGTAGAAGTTATAGCTGCTATTTCGGAGATCCCCACATCTCACACTCCTTTTTCTACGCTTCAGCAGGTATCGAACCCGCATCATCAATGTACATACAATACATTAATTAGCATCTATCATGTACGTAGGTACATACATACCGATGTATATGAAATCAGTCCCATTCTCATGTATGCAGAAAACTGACGGTTATTGGAAAAGTAGGCGTGGTAGCTCCCAAATACCTTGAGTTTTTATACCGCATATCTCTGAAAGTATTTGCGGCTGCGTATTGGAATTCGGTGGAGATGAATACGAAATTTATTTTATTGGTATTTCATTATCTGCATCGCCCTATATAAGCGGTTCCTTAATCTGTGGTCCATGGACCTCTAAGCGGTCCTTGTAATTAAAGCTAGTATTTTATGACAAGCCTTCTTAACCAAATACATAACTTAATATAACTGGCATACAATATGTTGGGTTCTGAGAAAAATTTGTAAATATTTTTGCTTAGCGCCTTTTAACGGTCATCCGTTATAGGAAAAGTTTTACGACAGTTTAATAAAAATATTCCGGATTATTGATGACATACATAGAAAAGTAAATTTTTTATTTTATTAAAAATACTAATATTTTAAATTTATTTATTTTTTTACCAGCATAAAATGCAGTTTTTATCACAAAGTGGTCGTACAAATTTTTTATTCACTACATATTTTCTTACAAATATAATAGGCTCCACTGCTAAAAAGAATGGCCTACAATTTCAAATGCAATATTTTCCATATAGTCGCTTTACTAAATTAATTAAATTATGATGAATTCGTTGTTATAGAATAAATATTTTTCAAATATTAATTTGTTACAAACAAAGCAAATAAAAACTCTGGCAAAAGCAACACTTTTGTACATAGCTGAGTAATAAAAAATAAAAAATATTGCGTTTCTCGGAAGGTTATTTAATTTATTTTGCTGTGCAAAATTATTTGGGAAATATTTCAAATCAGAGTTTCAATTGGCAACTAGCACCTAAATACATATGTAGATACATACATATTCGATGACGGCAAAATTAAGTTTTCTAAGGGGAAAATATAAAAAAAAATATTAAAAGAGCTGACTTATATTAGTTTTATTATTTTTGAATATTTATCTGCTGTGTAATATTAATATTAAAAAAAAATAATAATTTTTCGCGCTTAAGTATTTGTGATAAATCTATCGACAATTCCAAATCTGAACATAAAGAAAAGCTGGCAACATTGTCAACGACCCATAACGCATAAAGCTGAAATACTTGAATTCATAAAAAATGCTGCTACTTACATATTTTTATACATATACATATTACATAAGTTATTGTTGTGTGGTATAAGTATTCGTATAAATTTTTTTAAGCGAAGCTATTACAGGCAAAGTGTGTATTATCATTGCTTTCGTTCAGTAAATAAGAGCTGGTTATATTTTATATCTGGCACTGAACGTAAAATAATGCTGATTGATAAAATCTACTGATACCAGTCAGTGGATTAACGAACATTTTTAATACACAAAATAATTAGCTGTAAAGACATGCATGCATACCTACATGCTTATAGTAAATAATTGTGTTTATACTTTTTACTGGCTAAAAATACGTTAAATTTAAATAAAATGACTGATAAATTATTTACATGCTCTCTTTTTTGGACATTGAATATTTATTGCTGAGAATCCTTGTTATTAAACAACATTTTAGGGACGAAAAAATTAATTTAATGTTAACAAGATACATATGTATATAGCACGGTGTAATCAAATGTCTCCAGATATTGGTATGTGCGTTAACTATTTTCAAACAAATGTACAGCGGTTTATCAGAGAATGATAAAGCACTTACAAAAATTTCCCAAAAAGACTTCAAACAATCCCAAAGGAGTCCATAAAGTCCTCAAAAAAAAAATAACCAAACATAAAAAACTCCAAACAGTTTAAGGTGAATAATCCGGGAAAAAGTACAAAACTTGCTGAAAAATCCCAAACACCTAGAAATAGGATAAGAATAATGCCAAAAAGTCTCGAAAAATCCCAAAGTCCTCGAAAAATCCCAAAGCGCCCAAATTCTTTAAAAATCCACAAAAACTATCTAAGATTAAAAATTACGAATAAACCCGAAAAATCCTCAAATACTCCTTATAAGTCTCGAAATGATCCAGTAAGTCTCGACAAAGCTTCAAAAGCTACCAGCTGTTAAAATGAAAAGTTTTCGCAAATCCGAAACATCAATAATGAGTAATATAGAATATAGAATATATAGAAAAAAATAGCAAGAATGTCTCGAAAAACTCCACAAGCTCCCAGGTGTTCTAGACTTCCAAAAAAGTACTGAAAACAAAAAAATTCTGAAATTCTGTTGCGAAAATCCCGAAACTTTGGTAAGGAATAATAATAAAACATTCCGAAAAGTTCCGCGAATTCCAAAAATTACGAATGATTCCGTAAAAATTCGAAAATTTGTCCTAAAAACCTAAAAAACACCAAAAAATAAGACACGAATAGTACTGAAAAAAAAGAAAGTCTCGAAAAATTCTAAAAGCTCCCAGAAACTCGAAAATCCCGAATAGCCCTGGATAAATTCCAAAAAATGAATGTATTAAGAATGCCAAAAAGTCTTGATCTAATACCGAGTCCAGAAAAAGTTTAACAAAACACAGGAAAGGTAAATTGAAAGCATCTCGTACAGTCCCATAAACACTTTTCATAGAGTCGAAAAAGTAAAACGCGAAGAATCTCGACAAATCTAGAGTAAATCTGAAAAGTTTCCGAAAAAAATCGGACAATTAAAAAATCGAGTAAAAATTCAGCCGCAGCCAGGGATTCTGAAGGACCCAACCATAACACAAGTCTCAAGCATTTACTCTTTAGGAGAATGTCTTACTTCTTTACGCTTCTTCATCGTCAGAGCCGAGCCATAATGCTCCCAGTAATGGTGTGGATGCGGCTTACTTTTCCAGAAATAGGTGCGAAACGGGGTGGAAGGATGTGGCTTAAAGATGCTGCATTTCCCAAGCAACCGCTATTCACGGGTGTAAAAAGAAAAATTCTGGCGGCTTTTCCCTTTACTGTCTGCCCCAAACTTTCTTTGAACTTGAACGATGACATTCGAAGAATTTCAGAGGCATTCATGCTTGCTATGTGCCGTAAAACTATTTACATTTTAAAATCGCATAAAAAATAATTTTTTTTTCAATAGCATTTTTGAATTTATGACTTATTTTTTAAATCACGTTTAAATAAAATAAAAATCAATTAATTCACATACTCTTGCTCTTTTGCTCTCTGTCATTGCAGGCGCCATATTTGAACAAGGCACTGATGAGGTGCAATCAGCGTTTAAATACGCAATGCTCAATCACAATCTCAACGTATCGTCACGCCGATTCGAGCTGCAAGCGTACGTGGATGTCATCAACACAGCAGATGCATTTAAATTGTCGCGCTTAAGTACGTCGTGGGGGCGAGCGCCAGCCGCACTTATAAACCAAACCATAGCATACAAAAAAAAAAAAAAGAGAAAACAAATTATTAAAAAAAAAAAAAACATATTTGCACACAAATACATTCATCAATACGTAGGGAATACTCGAATGTGCACTTGACGTACGTAGCGCGCGCGTGACTGCAGCAGCATGATGGCCTTGTGTGGCAAATGTGGCTGTGGCAAGCGAGGCGATGCTTGTCATTTGCTGCTTGATTGCCCGCGGCTCACTGCTGCTGCTGCTCCGACTGCTGCTGTTGCCGCCGCCACTGCAGCGTTTCATTAATTATGCACTTTTTCTGATTTAAACAGAACACAGAATACATTTTCATTCGCAGTCATTGTCAGTATGTTCAACAAATTGCCACACATATTTACTTGCACGCAAACACAAACATTTACAATGCATTTATAAATTTTAATTACTTGCATTTTTCTTCTATCTTCATATTTACCGCTGCATTGGTGAACCAAAAAAAAAAACGAAAACCAACATTCGTTCGTTTCAAAAATGCGATAACAACACGCATACATCCATACGTGGCTGTGTATGCGCCTTACTGTATGCAATTNAATTTTAATTACTTGCATTTTTCTTCTATCTTCATATTTACCGCTGCATTAGTGAACCAAAAAAAAAAACAAAAACCAACATTCGTTCGCNTTTTAATTACTTGCATTTTTCTTCTATCTTCATATTTACCGCTGCATTGGTGAACCAAAAAAAAAAACGAAAACCAACATTCGTTCGTTTCAAAAATGCGATAACAACACGCATACATCCATACGTGGCTGTGTATGCGCCTTACAGTATGCAATCAATTTTCGCGTGACGTTTATTCTATGCTGGGTTCCGTATCACCGGATTCATTTTATACATTGCATTCGTACAGCAATACATTTCAAATGCCATTCGTGACACCATGGTTTCCAAAGAAAGTAAGCCGGAATTTCTGTACATAACATAGAGAAATTACTCTAACACACACGCACGCATACAAACTAACACAGCAACACACATACATNCACCATGGTTTCCAAAGAAAGTAAGCCGGAATTTCTGTACATAACATAGAGAAATTACTCTAACACACACGCACACATACAAACCAACACAGCAACACACATACATACATATATGTATGAAAAAGAACGAAGAATGTGAGATGGCAAAAAGTGTGACAGCAGTGAGCGAAACTTCTAACTTTTTCAACACTTTCACATAAAATCGCACGCACACACGCAGAGCCGCATATATGTACGCTTACTTGCAGATAAATAATAAACATGGAATTTTTATGCAAATATCGATAGTCACGCGGTGCACTGGTGTTGTGCCATTTTTCCAACGCACTTGACTTGCTGCCACGATTTTTTTTGCTTTTACTTTTTCACTTTTTATAACTTGTTTTGTATTTAGTTTTTTTTTTTGGTATATACATAAATATATGTATTAGTTGTTTCCTTTTTTGTGAATTTAATGCAGCATATTGTCGCCGCTGAAGTAGGTTAAGTGTGCGGATGTATGTATATTTAGTGGGCAAGCGCATGCAATGGAAAAGTAGGAGAGATTTTTTTGTATATAGCGAGACTTTTAAATTTTAGCCTTTTCAAAAAATTGCTACACCGAATTTAGTTTTGTTCTAAAGAAGCGCATATTAAAAATGCATATTTATACCTGTCTCAACTTAATACCGGCCCAGGTGACAAAAAATTTTCATGGATGACGTGTACAAATGAGTCGTCCTTATCTAAATTCCCTAAATCAGATCTGGTCACTGTTGAATGTAGGTTTGACTAGCTTATTTACCATGTATTGCCACCCAAATAATAACATCAACTGCCACCCAAATAATAACATCAAAAAATTTGCTCAAGATCTCTCTACTCCAGAATTTGGTTTAAGAACGCTCTGTCTGAGAATTTGATTGAAAAACGCCTCATCTCAGAATTTGGTTCAAAAATGCCCTATCTTAACTGATGTTGATATAGAGCATTTTTAAACCGAATTCTGAAATAGTGCATTCTTGAAAATAGGTCTTAAATAGGGCGTTTTTCAACCGGCTGCCGAAATAGGACGCTCTTCCAAACAGCCGTCGA